TCCTGCTCATTCCTAGGACAACGAGTGTGCACATGGCGGTCTCAGCACAGCATCCTCCGCTGCACAACTAGCACCACACAGTCCTCTTCCCGACCCCACAGGACCCTCGCCTACACGCTGCTTCCCTGAAACTGCAGGCGCCAGGTGTGCAGTCCTCCCAGAGGGCCGACGTGTTTCCTCCGTGGGTGGAGAAGAAACAGAACCCGCACCAAGTTGCACCGGGACCCTGAGTCGTGCAGGGCAGACCGAGACCCTGCAGACCTGGCCCAGGGTGCAGGGAGGTTCCCCCAAGGACACGCCACCAAGAACACACCACCGAGAACACGCTACTGAGAACACGCTACTGAGAACCAGGAAAACAAGCCCTCAGTCTGAGGCAGCTCATGACCATGAGGCGATGTCCAATGAGTGACGGAGGTGCTGGGCCTAACGAGCTTGAGCCACTGACCTGACTCCCTGCATGTGCACATGTGTGTGCTATTTACTCATGTGTGTACACCTGCTTTACATGTATGCTTTTAACAATAATTATAAGCAGCCACAAAAGCAAAAAAAACACATGAAAACATTCACCGCACAGTATCCTGAGATGTTAACAGTGTAAACTGACTCACACTCGTGCATTCTCTGCGTGACTGACCACACAGGTGTCAGCAGGAAAGGGCTGTCAGGTTGAGAGGGGAATTGTTCAAGATGGGAGACGTTTCTGGAAAAAAGGTTCCACTGTAATTGACCTCCTGCAGAAAAAAATCCAGAAAATATATGGAATGTAGAAATATTGGTGTTGTTCCTCAGCATACATGGGTGATCTGACTGCACCTAGATGGGAGACGGGCTTTTTAAACCAACGGGGGTGCCCTTTAGACAGGATGTGGGGCACAGACATTGCATTCAGCGTCCTGGTGGCCGTCAGAGCAGCCTTGAAGGACAGAGAAGGGTCACCGCACGGAAGGCATTTTCTCAGGTGGATTTTATAACTAAACCAGTTCCAAGGAGGAGCGCAAAGTCCACGCTCCCCGCAAGCCTTTCCTGAGCTTGGCTGCAGCCCAAGCAAACGGAGACACCGAAAAGCCCAGGCCACGGAGGACCCCAGGCCTTGCCGTGTGAAGGCGCATGGGGAGCGTAGGGCGGGGAACCCAACAGCTTAGAGCCGGTGCTGGCTGTGCGTCTGCGGGAAGCCCTGGGTGGGCTGTGTCTCCTTGATCCAGAAGAGACCACGGGCCACAAGGTGCAGCTCGTGACTTCTAGGGGGTCCGCTTGACCGGGATACGGGTCCAGTACTGCCTTCCCCAATGCTTTGTACAGATTCTAGCACATTCCTAGCATACTAGTAACGTATTAATAGTGAAAATATGTAACCGATACAAGTCAAACATTAAACAATATTTCTGTATAGCGCATGTTTTCCTTTATGAAAGGTAACTGTTCTTCTCTCTAGTAAGAGTTTACTTGCATCGTTAAGGAACAGAATGGTTGAACAAATATAAAGAATCAAACATGTAGTGAATATGCATCTATTTTAGAATCTTTGAGGGTAGTTAATATTCATCTCAAATAAAATAGATAACTTTATGGAAAAGAGAAAGTGACTTGTAGTTAAAACATTAGAGCTTTGTACAGTTTATAAATTGAAAAAAAAACAACACCTTTCTCTTCTCACAACATAGATCTATAGTAGATTAAACACAACTTTTCCCTCTCTGGTTAGTTTTCCTTCTTTGACCCTATATAGTTTTCTCAAAAGGAAGCAAAGCTGAGTCAAATCTAGCAAAAGAAATTATTACTTTTTTTTGCCAATAATGTTAAAATATAATCTGTTACTTAATTTTCTCTCATCTTTTTTGGAGCCTTCATAGTAGAAAGTTGTTCACTTACTAAAGAAGGGAATGAAATGATTTAATATAAATATATTAATCTCTTGTTGCCTGAAGATAGATGGTGAGATTCATAGTGATGACTGCAAATAACTCACTTGCTCCAGCTCTTTGTAGGAACATTGCATTTTGTTGTTTTGGTAACAATCACGGAATCATACAGCTTCAGACTTCAGACCGTCCAGTCCAAGCACAAAAAGAAATGGAGGCTACGTGATTGGGTAAATACATCACGTTTTCGTCTAAACCAGTCTGCGTGTAGTTTGCTTTGCCTTAACCAGCACAGACGATTGATTTAGCCAATCAGATTTGGGAACAATACACATCTTTCTGCTGACTGGAGGGCTCCCAGGAGTCATCCTGACAACACCCTGCATGGAAAGGCTCCGTAGAGATTATTAATCAGTGCACTCCTGTATTCAGTTGAAAAGTCTAAAAAAATGATTTCTACAAAATGAAGGGCATCCAGAGTCTTTTCAGCACAGAGCTTCGCAAAAAATGAATGAATTTACAGAGGAACTGTCCGATCCTGCTCGCAGATCTCATGAATCTAAACCCCAGCCAAGTGCCTGGCTTGTTGCTGATGCTCATGCACTTGAGCACCCAATGCGCCTGCGCAAGTGCGGGCCTTGCCGAGTGGCTGCGAGGAGCCCCGAGGACCCCTGTGTGGGCCCCTTACCAACTGCGAAGGAGGACAGGGTGGTATGAATCACCAGCGAGGCGAGGTCGTTCTTACTGGGATGTTTTAGAAAAAAATGTAGCTGTTGATGGTGTCGAATACTATTTAAAAGGAAATATTGCATGTAAATTTAAAATAATGAATTTTGGCTAATTTTTTTTCATTGCAGCAATATTTCTTCCCCAAAAAAAGTTTTACACGAAAATATTTTGCAATAGAAATTTGACTGGCTGTAGCCACTCGCCCCTCCTGCTGTCGGGCTACCCAGGGATGCTGAATGCGCACCCCGGGGGTGGGGGTGAGGGGTCGAGGAGATGATGGGGGTAA